ACAGTGCTGGGGAATTGGGGGAAGGGGAACAGACAAGTTGCTGTCGTTTTTTGTTCTTCAGTCTAGTTGTAGAGGACGTTGCTTCACTGGCCCAGTTTGGCACCATCATTGCGCTCTTCCCGGGCGAGACACATCAGTCGCCGGCTTCTGGATGGCCACTCACTGCGGCTGCTGGCCGCTCACGATGGCTGCTGGCTACATACGGTAGCCCATGGCAACCCACTGCCACAGGGGCTGCAGCCGACGCCGTCACCAGCGACTCACAGCAGCCCAGCTCCAGGTTGAGCTGTTGTTCAGCATCTTAGCTGTGGAGGGCAGTGTCACTGGCCCTCATATGTGGGNTTAGCTGTGGAGGGCAGTGTCACTGGCCCTCATATGTGGGATCCGAACCGGGGCCCTCTGGCATCCCAAGCCAGTTCTTAACCATTGCACCACTTGGCCGGCCCTATTATCTTTTTATTTGTAATTGTGAGTATATTTAATGCAGAAGATGTACAAACGATTAATTTTTTGTTGTGTATAGAATTATGCCAATCTCCCAGATATGTCCTTAGATGAGTACAAAGATAATCTATTAACAGAAAAAGAAAGCAAACTACCTGGTAAGGCCTTTTAACTATAGGTTTTGGGGAGCACAGATCACAGGCAGGAAATTGGCGTGGGGTTCTGCTGCATGGGAAGTGAATGCCCACCTTGTATTCTCTGAAATGCCACATGATGATGTTGTATATCATCCATAAACAAAACTGAGATCCGATGTGTCTTATACTTAACCGTCTCCCAACAGACGCCCTCTTCCATTTTCTTTTTATTCCCACCTAGTGTTGATGTTATCCCATTGTATTTTGATAGTATTTGTGTGTGTGTGTGTGTGTGTGTGTGTGTGTGTGTGTGTTTGATTTGTGCTTTAATGACACATACTGAAGCTGGACTTGCTAAAGCACCAAATTGCGGTATGAAATGACTGGCCTAAGATGTGAAGACCATCCCAACGCTCGGCACACTAGCTGTGGATGTCTCTGGGGATGTCTTCACATCTGTTTGGGGCTTAGTCTTTTCTTCTACACAAATGGTGGAATGATTGCATGAGCTATCTCTACAAGACAAGACAGTTGGGGGACAATGCATCTCAGAAGGTTCATAAATATAAAATATCACCATTATCATTGCTTTAAAGCATGCCATCAATAAGTATGTATTGGAAATATTTATATTTTAATTTCATAGGAAAACAATAGTGGTTTTTAATAAAATTGCAAGTGAATATCCTTGAGTCTTACTCATAGCTATATTACTAAACTTCTCATTTGACTCCTAATATATACAAAAATGTCCTCATTTTAATGCAAAATATAAGATAAGCTGGTGTTGGGCATTTCTGCAATGTAAATTTAATGTTATCTTTTATTATTGTGAACTATAAACTGTGTATGAAGCTAGGACAATGTTTATATGAAAAAAATACCACCTGCCTTGATTTTGAAAATATTCCAAATATTTAAGAGCACTTGGCTTTTTATTTTTTAATTTGTAGTTAAAATTTTTAACAGATATCATAGATTTTTGTTGCTCTTTCAATTAAGATCTAGCATTATAGTGTTTTTTTTTAATTGGGGAATTGGGGGAATGGGAACAGTGCTGGGGAATTGGGGGAAGGGGAACAGTTGCTCTCCTTTTGTTCTTCAGTCTAGTTGTGGAGGACGTTGCTTCACTGGCCCAAGTTGGCACCATCATTGCGCTCTTCTCGGGTGAGGCAGATCAGTCGCCAGCTTCTGGACGGCCGCTCACTGTGGCTGCTGGCTGCTCACGCTGGCTGCTGGCTACACACGGTAGCCCATGGCAACCCACTGCCACAGGGGCTGCAGCCTACGCCAGTCGCTGACAACTCCCAGCAGCCCAGCTCCAGGTTGAGCTGTTGTTCAGCATCTTAGCTGTAGAGGGCAGTGTCACTGACCCTCATATGTGGGATCTGAACCGGGGTCCTCTGGTGTCCCAAGCCAGTTCTTAACCATCGTGCCACTCGGCCGGCCCTATAGTATTTTTTTTCCAACTACGTGTGACAGGAAATATTTCTGCCATATATAATTTTACAAAAAATGAATATAATAAAGTATTTAAGACTGCTTAAAAATCTAAACATGTATAAAGGTATTTGGTGAAGCAATCATCACTAAAATTTTTAATACAATTCTTAGATATAGATGACAAAAGGGTGCCTCTTTAAAAGACCATTTTTAATTTATGAATTTTCTTGGTAGGGTGTTTGTTAGTTTTTCTACTTTGGCTACATTTGAAAGCTTGGGGATCTGATGGCAATGGTATTTTATTTCATTAGAGAAATAAAAAATATTAGAAAAAGTCGTCGTTTAAAATGGCTGTGAATTGAATCAGTATAAATACACACAAATGTAGAGAAACATGTATGGAGAACTTAATATGCACCAGGCTCTATGCTAGCTTCTTACATATTTTGTCACATTTAAGCCTCATTGACACTCATGTGGTTGGTACCATTATATTTCTATATTACAGTTGAAGAATCTGAAATGAATGGACTTGCCCGCCTAAGTAACACCCCTAATGAGTGGCCAACATGGCTTTGGATTCAGTCAGTTGGACTCCAGAGCCACTGCTCCCACCCTCCTGCCAGCTCCTTGTCAGTCTATCATCCACAGCTCTGAAAAAGGCATAGGTCCACATGTGGTGATAAGGCACGCTCTCCAAGGCAAATTGTTCAACCTCCAAGACATGGCGATAAGTGGAAGAACAATTGTAGGACAGTGTATATTATATGCTACACCTGTCTTTAAAAAAAACCAACATGTATCTTTATAGATTTTCTTTGGAAAATCTTTACGGCTACCTTCAGGGAATAGTCTGGGGTCCTGGGGGACTTGGCTGACAGCAAGATTCACATTTTACTATATATCCTTTTAATTCTTTTTAAATTATCAATACTGTGTATAAATACCATTTTAAAATCCAGTTTAAACTGACATTGTTAAGAACTAGTGAGAAAAGTCATGTATCTTAACAATTCCGTACATTTTAAAACTATTTATAAGACAGCATATCTATCTGTTTATTTTAATCACAAGATGTGGGACCTTAACCCTCTGTAAGAGACCATATGATCTCTGGGGTGCCGGGTCTGCTGTACCACTGATCAGCTCTGGGAAGTTACTCATACCATGATCAGGCCTCAATTTTCTAAACTGTAAAATGACAACAGCGAACAAGTTGCCTTCTAACTTATGTTATAAGTAAGTTATAATACTTCCAAAATGAGTTATAAAGAAGCACTTTTAATAAGATTAGTAAAGAAGTACTTAGTTTTAATAAGGTTAAAACTAAGTGGGTTTATGAAAAGAGCACCATCTTGGCTCTTGGTGAACAAAAAGGCACGTGTCCACTCTGGGTGTTACCTGTTGGTGGTGGCATGTTGGAATTTCAGTGGAAGTTACCAAGAACAGGCAAAATCCTTGATGCAAAAACAGAACACTCTATCTCATAACTATTGTAGGGGTATTTCTTAATATATTAATACATAGTGGTGTCAACAACAAATATAGGCTGCATTCAATACTCATCATTAAACTATTTCAAAGAATCTTTTGTTAACTGATTTGTAGAAATCTATCAAGCATAGGTTCTTCACAATTTACTATAATCTTGGGTTGCATGAATTATAGGCATACCTCGTTTCACTGCACTTTGTTTCATTGTGCTTCACAGATGTTGCATTTTTTTTTACAAATTGAAGGCAAGGCCCTCTACCAACAAAGAGATTATGACTCACTTTATTGCACTACTCACTTTATTGCAATGGTCTGGAACTGAACCCGCAATATCTCTGAGATATGCCTGTATAATAGAGGTTGGCAAACTTTTTCTATAAAGGGCCAAATAGTAAAAATTGTATGTTTTGTGGACCATATGTTCTTTGTCATAACTACTCAGCTCTGCACAAAAGTATCAGTGGACAATACATAAATGAACAGGCATGGCTGTGTTCCAGTAAAACTTCTTTACAAAAACAGGCATGGGGCCAAATTTGGCCCATATGTTTACTGACCCCTGAATTATAATGAATTCCTTCCCTAAGTTTCTCTGTGCAATGTATCCTGAGATAAGCTACCTGATTGCCTCTCCTCTAATGCTTGAATGTGGGAATAAATGCTTCCATTCTTCAACCCCTTACATTCAGTCATTCCTTTATGAATACACTAGTTTGCAAATGCTACATTCCACCGCGTCACCCTTATGCCAACCCTATTTCAGTTTTATGGGTTGCCTGCCTTCTTTCTTTTCCCTCTGAATTGATATTTCCTGAAGACAAGTAGTGATCGTTGTTTCTCTTACATTCCCCTTGCTTGTATTACCATTTTTACATGATTTCAACCTTTACCCCAAAAATGTTTTGCTCACATATCTTTTGTACCTAGGGAATTGTGGTAAGCCTTGTTTAAAATCTTCCGGACATGATTGGTTAACCACTTGCTAAACATATTCTTCCCTTTCTTAAGGGAAGCTCAACCACATTTAACAAGCCGCTTTCCTCAAAGAGCAAGAGGGTCTGGAGGTAGAATTAGTCTTGGCAAATAATTTGCAAAGATAGATGTTGGTCTCTGAACTTAGCGCATCCCTGGAGAGGTCCCTGCCTTAGCCAGGAGAATTGGGAACAAACCTTGCCTCTGTAGTAATATCTAGCTCAACTCCCTCCAGCTTCCATCCAGCACTCATGTTTGTCTTCCCAGTCTCCATCCTTGCTTCTCTCCCAACATTTCCAAATTCCAGAACTTTACCTGCCATAGACAAACTTGATGCTGGCAAAACTCTTCACTTGTATGCACATGGCTCGTAGATTATTGAGATTTACCACATGCTTTAAATTCGCCGCTTTTCCTGTTCAGCGATTTAGCTAGCCCTGGATAAAGGTGATTTGTGTGATCTATCTTGCTTTATGTCTCATTGACATTCTTCTGCCTTTTTCATGACAGGTTGCTGAATGCTATAAAGCCAGGACTTGTTAAAAAGATCAATAGATTGCCTACCCCCATTGCAGGATTGGTGAGTATCCAGAACTGAGATTTATTTTCCAATATTCCTATGCTCTAACCTAAGGGTCATGACAGTGTCATTTATTACAGTTTTCTCCTGCAATATATATTCCACTTGAATGAGAACGCATTTTATCCATTAAACTGAGAGGTCACTTAAAAATGAAAGATTGCAGTTATGCCTAAATAGCATCCTAATCTTTGTTTGTATTTTTCCCATGAGTGATAAGGACCTTCATTCTTAAAGAGGTAAATTTGTTTTGGGGTGAGAGGTGGATAATTAGGTTGACCCCAGGGCAGGAATGTGATTGTAATTATGGTTTTCACATTTCAGCTTTTCACTGCATTCCCCTGAAATGGAGGGGAGAGGAGGTAGAGAGAAAGAGAATTTCATGATTAACAAGCAGCACTTTTGTGATAAATTGCTGTTTTCAATCTTAGAAATTTACTTGTGTTTAACTACCACATTTGTAGACCAAATCTTTTAAAGACATTATAGACACTAGGGTTATCCTGATGTCATCTGAAGAATTGTTTAAGTTAAGCCCTTGCCCGTCTGAACCTACCCATCCAAAACAAATAAAACTCGTGTTCACATATGGTGAGAAGCAGGATATTTTTTCATGCATTGATATGTTTCATAATTCTTGGCACCTAATTTTAATTATTTAATTGATGTTGCCTTTTGTGTGACAGAGGGAAAAAGGTGGGAGATCAAGAAGGCAAACATACCTTAGTTCTGGAAAGAACTCGGCCCCTGCACATGTGCACATGCACGCACACACACATGCATGTGCATACACACGTGTGCACAGAAAGCTGCGAATGTGTGTGGCCTGGTAACAACTCACTGACTGTTTCCATTGTGACTGCCTTCTATGCCTGTGGCTGTGCAGAAAACAATTAGAAAAATGTCAAGAATTTGGGCAGGCTCCTACGTAGACCTTACTGATTGTTGTTAAAAAGTTTCATAGCCATATCACGATGACTAATTGAAATTAAATGTAACAACAACAAAACCCAGTTGTGTATGAGAACCGTGAGGGTCATGGTCAAAAGTACATGGTTTTAGCAAGTTGAATGAAATAGTTTTTTTGTTTTTTATTGTAAGAATTGCTGTTTCTGTGAATGTATTTTATTTCCCATACTGGTTAGTAATAAGTTGGTGATTATCGTTAAAAATCCTTCCAATTTCCTTCATCAGAATCATGTAACCAAGTCAGTTGATTGATAGATAGATAGATAGATAGATAGATAGATAGATAGATAGATAGATTTGGAAGAAATGGATTTGAAAATTTTATAAGTAATCAACTTATATGTATATTATATATTACATATAGTAATGTATACATAATGATTTTAAAACTTTTTATTAAATCCATCTCTTCCAAATGTTATGGCCATAGTCTGAATGATACCGACAAATACCTGTTTTGCCCCAAGCCTGCGTCATCTCCTGAACCTTGGAGCTCTGGGATTTAATGTCACAGGAGCGAAACTTGCAGCATAAAGTCAAGGAAGGGCCCTGGTAAATCCACGTGAACAGAAGCAAGCAGCTCTGAGACCAGAAGCTAAGAAGAGAAGGGTTTTGAACCCTTAATTTAAAGTGTGAATCATAAATAATTTTAGTAAAATAAAGGGTTTAGGACATGTACATTGACCTTTATATCATTTCTTATCATAGATCAAATGTTGTTCTTTACATATTGTTCTCTACTCTGGAGCAGGCAAGCAATTTGATTCCAGATAACAAGGGTCCTTGCTTGCCTGCCTCCATTTATATCCTTGACTTTTATTCCTCCTCTTTCTTTTTTCATTTGGATTTTCTTTCCACTTTGTCCTTTCTATTGTCTTTCCATTTCTTGCCCTTTTCCACCTAACATTTTGCAACTTACCTTCATCGTCTATCACTTGTATTTTCCTTACCAATTTGTTATGGTGATATTATGATTTATAATAAGAAATATGTATTTGGTCTTTGTCCATTTCTGGCACAGAGCTCTTAAAAGCCTTGGATTTTCTAAATAATAAGAGCATCTTTGTAATAATATTTGGTCTTTTGTCACTGGTTCCTGAAATAGCCCCAGTTCCAGAAAGATTGAAGGTGTGTCTTATTACTCATAGCAAGCCCCTTTCAACCAGAACTGAGTTTATGTTAATGAGGTGACTTTTGGAAAGCCACCTCTCCCCCCACCCGGCAACACTGGGGGCTGGTTGCCAGGAAAACCAAGTGATTGGAGGATTGGAACTTTCAGCTTCCCTCACCCAACCTCCAGGGAGAGGAGAGGGGCTGGAGATTGAACTCAGTCACCACTGGCCAACGATTTAATCAATCATGCATATGTAATGAAGTCTCCATAAAAACCCAAAGTCATTGGGTTGGAGAGCTTCTTGGTTGTTGAGCCCATGTGGATTTTGGGAGAGAGGTATACCCAGAGAGCATGGAACCTCCATATCCTTTCCCACATACGTTGCCCTATATACTTTTTTATATGGCTGTTCATCTGTATCCTTTATAATATCCTTTATAATAAACTGGCCAACATAAGAAAATGTGTCACTGAGTTCTGTGAGCCACTCTAGCAAATTAATGAAACCCAAGGAGAGGGCCACAAGAACCTCTATCTTACAGTCAGCTGGTCAGAAGCACAGGTGGCAACCTGGACTTGTGAGTAGCATTTGAAGTGAGGGCATCTTTTGGGACTGAGCCCTTAAACGTAGGATCTGACCCTATATCTTTGGAAGATATCCTTTGTCAACTTTTTCAAGTTCTTCCATGGCTATTGGATTATTGGGTTTCTACTTAACAACTCAATTGTATAATAATTTGTATTCCCCTAGAAATTGTTCATAATTGTATGTATAATAATATAGAATTATGTATAGTATTCTTATCAATTAAAAAATTTCTCCATGAAAAAAGAAAAAAAGAATTGGGTAAAGTGCTTGGTGTTGTTAAGAAAACACACAATAGACGTATGCATGTCTAAAAATTCCTTACCTAAGTATAGTTAATTACTGCCAATTTACTAATAATTCTTGAACCTACAAATCTGGTCACACTCTTTTCCCCTCTTCCAATTACCTTTAGATCAACCTTTTGAAAAACCAGTGCACTAGTTGGGGTCCTGGCATGAAACTTTCTCCTCCCCATACCCCATTTTGTTAATGTTCTTCCAGAGTTCCTTCTTCAAGCCTATTTTATGTTCCCTTTCCATACTCATGTTCATGTCTGTCTTCATGATTTTAATTCTTCATAACATTGACCCAACTCATCATGCCTCACCAAGTTTTTTCTCCTCAACTTCAGACCTCTTGTTCTGTTTATTGGACAGCTTCATCTGAATGCCCTACCAGCATCTCAAACTTAACATATTCAAATTAAACTTAAATGACCACTCCCGCCCCCCTATTTCCCTATATCAGTAAAGGTATCATAGACCCCCAGTTGCCCTAGTTCAGCTCTCAGAATTTGGCAACTTTCTCCAATCTTCTAGTTGTCTGCATTTCCTTGGCCACTAGGCAAGGCCTAGAGCAGGCCTTTCTCATCTCTTTCCTGGTTTATTATAATCAACTCACAGTTCCTTAAACATTATTAACTTTCATGTGTGAGGCCTCTTTTCATGATATTTCTTATAAATAGAATGCCTCCCCCTGTCCTTCTTGACAAAATCCTATTTGTTTATCAAGACCCCATACAAAATCACCTCCTTTGTGAAGTCTTTAGGGTTTAAGGTACATATGATCTTGTATTACAGAATGGAGTTAGCATTTCCAGGTTTAGGAGAAAATGAGTTAATATATTCGAGAGATAAAAGATAGTTGTGTTGAAATATGCTTCGAGGAGCACGATTTTGAATAACTAACAGCTTGAGATAATAGTGTATAAATGGTTTAGTATTCATGTTAAGACATTTTAGCTTTAAGCAGTAAATTGGCTGTGATCCAATTTATTAATACCTTTAATGGGTACAAGTGTTGAGAAATGTCCTAGTGATGCACTGAGACATCACAGCATCACAGCATCACCTTGATAGAATGTCTGCCAAAATATTTAGTCAAAGTCCAATTCTGAGGAAACAATCAGACAAGTCCAAATTGAGGGACATACCATAAAACAACTGGCCTGCCCTTTTTAGCACTGTCAGTGTCATTAAAGATACCTCCCCATCACCCAAAGGCTGGAAAACTATTTCAGATGAAAGGTGACTAAGGAAATTAGGAGATATGACAGCCAAATGCCATGTGTGGTCCTTGCTTGAGAAAGAGCAACTATAATAGACATTATTGGAACAACTGGGGAAATTTGAGCGTGGTTGAACATTCGATAGTAGTATTCTGTCAGTGTTGAATTTTCTTAATGTGGTAACTATCTTGTCAAAGATAGCTGCATATATAGGGGAATACTCCTGATGTTAGGAGGTACGTAAACTGGAGTAATTTAGAGATGAAATATCACGATGTGTCCAACTAATCTTCAAATTGTTCAGCAAAGAAATGTCTGTGCATATAATGTATAATTTTATATACACATACACATGGGAGAGAGAGTGTTGGAGCTAGATGAAGTAGATAAAGGGTACACAGTTATGGTATTAATCTTGCAACTTTTGGGTACATTTTGAAATTTTACAATATAAAAAGTTGGGGATTAAAAGACATCAGCTTTCTTATCTTTTTTGAGGGAGTAGGGGGGACCTCAAATAAACAGTAGATCTGAAGATAAAGACCAGGTTGGGTTAATAGAGATACAGCCTTTTATGTGAGTGTATTCTTCACATGACATTTTCTTCCTCATATATTTGTGACTGTCAGGAAAGAGCAGGTTCAAGGTTGGTTTCTACTTTGTCAGGGGGTTGACAGGCCACTGACCATCTAATGATCAAGAAGTCCTCAGTAGCAGGGGCCATGGAGATCTGAGAAGCATGGCAGGAAGGTTTTCCATGCCTGGAACCCACACCTGTGGGTCTTAATGGCCTGGTGTTGAGAAGAATCCATTAAGATGGC